ATTTCGACTCCACTGCTTTTTAATACACATTTATAAACTATCAATTTGCAACTGATTCGTTAGCTGCAGGCAACTCTAGCTGGGCTCGTCTCAGGTGTATAGGGAGCTCAAGTGTATCTCATGCAGCTCATCTTTGCATATTTTATTCATTTTTGCAAATTGTGTTTTAGGGTTAAAGGGCCGCGTCAAACTCCATTGCCAGCCGCCGTCTCGATTCGATGTGAGGGAAACCTCCAAACCCTAAACCCTAAACCCTAAACCCTAGACCCAGCAGCATTCTCATCCTCCGTTTCTTTCCCTTCTCTTGAATAACCCAAACATTTAAATACTTCCACAGATTATCTAGAATACATAAGCCCCGGTTTCCCTCGCTTAACGAGAGAGCCCTAAACAGTTCAGTATCTGTATTCTTATATACAAGATATTCAAAGGGATTTGCTTATATACGCGTGCATTCTTTCTCCTAATTGCAAGCGTATTCGTCACTCTAATATATATTTATACTTATATATTCATATGCAGGGTCTTCTCTGTTATGGTTGTTGCAGAAAATGAAACATCGGGTTCGCTGGCGCTGGCAGCTCGAAAAGTAGAAGCCGCCGAGTAACAAAAACGAAAGCAGAACAAACACAAAACGGCCAAAATGAACGAATGTCGATATATAATATATATATAATATAATATATATTATATATATAATATATATTATATATATAGTATAATATATGTTATATATCTACGTCACTGGGGATGCTTCCTGATTGAGCGCGTGCCGCACTCGACCAACTTTTTTTTTTCTGTCTTCACATTTTGTTTATAGAATATTTAATATTTGGATTCTTGAATTTATGGCATTGATACGAAGTGTTTTGACACTTTTCTGCTCATGCGCAGCCCTTGATATTTCAGGGTTTCTCTTTTACTTTATATTCATCTCTGAAAGAAAGTTGAAAAAAGCTAATCACAGCAGCCCATCCTGTTGGGCCAGAAGATTCAGCTTTGCACTGAAGGTGTAGAAATGAAGTATTATAATTCAGCCGTAGTTATGTGCCTCATGTGAACTCCGAAAGTAATATTAGAATAAATACAATATTATATTTTAGAGTTTATTTGAGTCATCCTGATTAAATTTTTTCAGGGTTTTGGGGTCAACGAAGAAACGCTGTGCCTGTTCTTTCAGTTTATCGCGCTGTTCTATTGTTTCTTTTCTCATCTGATGCCACTCTTTAACGTCCACACCCCTAGGGAAAGCTCGAATACCTTGCTGGGGAATCCCAGTGCCTGCAACACAAACACGCATATCATGAGCATAGGACATTGTTTCCATCATCAGGCAGGAAATACAGATTTAAAACCATAGAACACAGGCAGAACAAGGAAAGAAAGCATAAGCTGTGAAAGATATACCTTCTGGCTGCACGGTGACTTGTGCCGGGGTGTCGTCGATATAATATTCCACATTTGCGTGTTTCACTATGAAGTCATAAACCACAGAAGCCTGCGCCTTCTTGTACAGCTGCTTCAGCACCATCTCTGGCGCCTCCCCCGTTGTCTGAGTTCAGAGGATAAGGACGCATATAAGCAATCGTAACAAACGAATGTAGAGCTTCTAGATTGCCCCTATTGCATATCTATGCTAAGTTCAATTAGTTTTTTCGATGAGTATAAAGGAAGTGCATAAACACCAAACTGATGATCGGTGACATCATCATCTGATGGTGGCAATATTACCTTTTGGTGATTGCAATGATGATGACGATACTAACTGAAGGTGCTGCTGAACTCATCATCAACTATATCTCACAATGCCGCGTTTGCTCACCTGCAGCATCGCTTTCGCGAGGTCTTTGTGCAGCTTTGCTTCGTCTACTTGCAGTCTTTCCTGTTGAAACACTGCCTGCGATGTGTGCCGCATGCATTGACGAATATTTATTTATAAGCTTCACTTATATTTACTCAATGGTTTATCTCCCACTCGCACCCACAACAACAAACAACGTAACCGGCTTCTCCTCAGGTTTCAGCTGCAGCTGCTTAGGTCTAGGGGTTTAGTAGTTTCAGCATTTTCTTCGTGAGCCTTCTGTTGTTGATTGCCAACGAAAACGCACAAGGATTATATGTAACACGCGAATAATAAAATACTCGTGGAAAATGATAAATAAAGCAATTAATTACTGGGTTTGCAGCAACAGCTGGAGTCAACGCCCACCTGAATAGCAAATGCTGTTCGGAGTATATTTTCGATTCCTCGTCTATTTTCTTCTTTCCACTTTGCGAATTCTTCTTTGCTTTCCGTCCTTTTATCTTTTTCTCCTTGGAACTCCCGCGCCTTTACTTGCTGCTGCCACGTGGCTTTAGCTTGGGCCTCAAACAGAGACTCTGAGCAGATAAATAAATGCATTGCCGCTACAGGAATTAGAAGATTCTCCTAGAGATCACTAGCGCACATGAAAGCATAACTGAAACAGAAATAGATGAATAGAGCCACATAGCATCAAAGAAGATGCACACATTACTTCTACTGCACGAAAAGATCAATAGCGAAGGAGAATAAGCTCCTCCCAATGATGGTTAATATGAAAACAAATAAACGCATAAAACATCTCAATACACAAAAAAAAGCAAAAAGCACCTGCAACTTCTACTTGTGTTATTTCATCCAAGGCCTGGGCTGCAGCGCCTAAGGCATATTTAGAGGCAGCAGATTTCGCCAGTTCTTCTGCAGCTTCTTCCGCAGCATCAAATAGCTCATTTCGAGTCATCTGACAATTCTTTTTAAAGAAAGCGTCTGAAAAAGAAGGCGAAAGATAGACGCAACAAACCCCAAACCCCAACTCGTAAACTCTAGACGTCAATCCCCCCACCCCCAAAAGCAGGAAACAAAAACAAGAGAAATACAAAACACGAATACAACAAATAATGCAACAGAAAACAACTTCCGTCCTCGACTGCCTACTCGATCTCTCTTCCCTGTTGCCTTGGGCTGATACCTATGTTGCTATTCATTATTTAAACTAAATAAATTAAAATGCATTACGCTAAAGTTTATTATATTAAGAGGAGGAAAATGATGCAATTAAACACGCAAATGCAGTGTCAGCGAACCGTCTACTACAGGCCAAATGCGGCGTTTGACTTCGAGGCATTTCACTNACGCAAATGCAGTGTCAGCGAACCGTCTACTACAGGCCAAATGCGGCGTTTGACTTCGAGGCATTTCACTTGAAGAAGACAATCGATATGATGAATCTCCTCGTCTTCTGCATTCTCTTCATTGCTCTGCGTATCCGTATTCTCTTCTGTTTCAGATTTCTCAGCTCCTGTTGCACTCTCTTCTGTTGCAGTTTTTGGTGCAGACGTTGCCTCTTCGTCTTCAGCCTCTGCAGCTTTCTTTTGCTGGCCGAATAGAGATTTGAAGAGTTGTTCTTTGGTTGTATTTGCGATGTTTTTCAAATACATCGGCACCAGACTTCGCCCCGCTTCGGCAGGTTCCTCATCAGCCCTCTCCCCTGCCTTCATACCCGCTGCTGGTGCTGCAGTTGCTTGGCTCTCACTCGCATGCAACGAACCACCTCCACTGCAGCTGGCCTCTTCTATCTCCTGCTGCCTCTCGTTTATATCCAGCAAATGAGATGTCTTGAACGGTACAGACACCCGAATGGTGCGGACCTCGCCGGCGGATATGCCTCGTACGGACTCCAACAACTCCGAGGGNGTACAGACACCCGAATGGTGCGGACCTCGCCGGCGGATATGCCTCGTACGGACTCCAACAACTCCGAGGGGATCCTGTTAATCAAACAAAACAAATACAAACAAACAAACGAAACAAATCAAAAAAAAAACGCAGCACACGACAGTAAACAAACAGATAAACAAACACCGCACTCCATATACACCCAACGCCTGAGGCAGATCGACTCTGCCTTTAAAAGTCGAAGCCAAACTGAAGACGAGTATGTATGCATGTATGGATGAAGACTGTGCATAAATGCACGCATGCATGCATGCATGCATGCACGATGCTGTCCTTTGTTTAGAATCATTTAGGACTCCGTTTGAGCTGTGCTGCAGACACGAACTAATCAGCTTCAGCTGTATATGCAGCTCGAGATGTGTTTATTATATTGCTGAGTCCTGTGCGGACTGCTGAAGAGACAGACTAAGATTTTAATCTCTATAGAAGACAACTCATGTTTTATATTCCTTTCATGTTGTGCATAGACAAAACTGTATTCCTATTCCTAATTAGAACAGAGCAACTCCAGGACAGTATACGTGCAAATGCCTCTACATGCGTCTGCATGCAGCAAAAAATATCTGCATGCAGACTATGATGATGATGATGATGAAGATGATGAAATTTGTTTTTGTTGTACCAGGGCTCGACGAGGTCTAAGGTCGTTGGGCCGCAAATATATTCGGGGGGGATTCGGGGGCCGATGGAGCCGTCCCGCTCTTCAAACCAGCCGTCTTCCACCTGTTTATAAATAAACAAAAAGAAATATAAAACAAAAAAATAAAAAAAAAAGTGAAAACAAAACGACGGAGGAAGAACACAAAAAACACAAGTGCAACAGAGGATGCAAATTCACAAACAAACAACAGCAGAAAACAATCAAGCCAAAAAAAAACAAAAAACAAAAATCAATAAAAAGACGGCAAACTACTAGCATCAACTGGATGCGAAAATTACGCTTCTGTTGCTTTATACATATTTAATAAAGATGAAAGAATAATAAACAGGCAGAAAATTCTCATGTCTCCTGTCATTCACCAGGGGAAACACCAGAAGAGAGAAAACAAATAAAAGTCAAAAGAGCGCAAAGTGCATAAAAAAAGA